GACGTTAACACAACCTTCTCCACTAGGCTTCATATGTCCTTGTTCGGATGTTAACACAACCTTCTCCACTAGGCTTCCTATTTCCTTGTTGGAACGTTAACACAATCTACTCCACTTGTCTTCCTATGTCCTTGTAAGGACGTTAACACAACCTTCTCCACTTGTCTTCCTGTGTCCTTGTAGGGACGTTAACACAACCTTCTCCACTTGTCTTCCTATGTCCTTGTAGGGACGTTAACACAACCTTCTCCACTTGTCTTCCTATGTCCTTGTAGGGATGTTAACACAACCTTCTCCACTTGTCTTCCTGTGTCCTTGTAGCGACGTTAACACAACCTTCTCCACTTCTTCGTATGTCCTTGTAGGGACGTTAACACAACCTTCTCCACTTGTCTTTCATGTCCTTGTAGGGACGTTAACACAACCTTCTCCACTAGGCTTCCTATATCCTTGTAGGGACGTTAACACAACCTTCTCCACTAGGCTTCCTATGTCCTTGTAGGGACGTTAACACAACCTTCTCCACTTAGCTCCTCCTTTTTTGTGTGACTAGTTTTGAAAATAAAATGGAAATTCTAGGATATAAATGTAAAAATGTAAGGGAAAAAACATTTTATGTCAGCTTTGAAAAATCAATTACAGTGAACAAACAAAAGACTGCGACGAGTAGCCTTCATCGGCCAACAGAGATAACTACACAAAAGTCTACACTGACTATACTACAACTGAATATCACGTACACCACTCTGACAAAATACTGATAAAACTACAGGCTTATTCAAAGTAGGTGAAACTTATCTGGATCAGTATACCTGGATGGAGGGAGGAGTTAACACCAGTCTTGGTGAGAGGATGAAACAAACACTGAAAATCTTCACTGAGTGTCAAAACAAAAAAAAACCGGGGGAGGGAAGGGGGGGGGGGAAGAGGTTTGTTTCAAATAGTGTGGTGTCCACAGATTCGAGTGTTTGAAATGACATTAGGCGTACACATGGGATACAAGATGGCCCCTGCTTGTGTTCAAATACAAATAGGCAGATACATAGGTGGACGGATAAACATACAGACATATAGACAGACGGAAGGACATACAGATAGAATTAACACATTTTTATCTTTAAAGGGTCACAAATTAGGCAAAAGATCCGTCTTACAATCAGCCCTTCAAAACAGTCATCTTTCACACAGCAGTGGTATTTTATCAATAAATATGATATATGATAAGAGGGATTGACTAGAACATATCTTTCTCCCACCACCAGAAATTGCAGTTTTTGTGTGTCTGACCATGTCTGCTTTTCAAGGACATGCCTGTTTGAGCACAGTTTATTCTCCAAACACAGCCAGCCAGCAGTTAGATTATTTCAAGAGAGACCAAAACACCAGAGGAGCTCATCAGTTCTAGTTAAAGCCATGTGAATAAGAAATGAAAATTGTTTATTAATTAACTCTAGCAGGCGTAACCCTGCTTCACATCTCCCTTCCAATTTGTGTTGACATGCCCAACAACAACATTATAAGAACATATGCATCAACTTTATAATATCAAACACAGATAATCTCATATAAGGAAATTGATGAAATCTTCAATGACATAAAACAGGAAAAAATTGCAAAACAACAAATATATAGTGTTCAACATGAGTGACCAGTGAACATTTACAATTCTTGATCTGTTTGTAGTTTTCATCTTCGACCTCAGACAGTTCTTCCCAAACCTATTCTTACAGCTCATTGTTACTTTGGCCGTGGGAGCTACAAGAATGTAATCGAACTGTGCCTCAGCCATGGGGTTAACATGGGGCATAACAGTAGATAGTTGTTCCTAGTCCTATATTGTCATGGGCATTCTTCTCCCTATTTCTGAACATGTCTCTTCCATGATAGTTGGTTGTACCTAGTCCTGTGTTTTCATGGATGTTTGTGTTCTCATTTCTAAACATGTCTCTTCCATGATAGTTGGTTGTACCTAGTCTTGTGTTTTCATGGATGTTTGTGTTCTCATTTCTGAACATGTCTCTTCCACGATAGTTGGTTGTACCTAGTCTTGTGTTTTCATGGATGTTTGTGTTCTCATTTCTAAACATGTCTCTTCCATGATAGTTGGTTGTACCTAGTCTTGTGTTTTCATGGATGTTTGTGTTCTCATTTCTAAACATGTCTCTTCCATGATAGTTGGTTGTACCTAGTCCTGTGTTTTCATGGATGTTTGTGTTCTCATTTCTAAACATGTCTCTTCCATGATAGTTGGTTGTACCTAGTCCTGTGTTTTCATGGATGTTTGTGTTCTCATTTCTGAACATGTCTCTTCCATGATAGTTGGTTGTACCTAGTCCTGTGTTTTCATGGATGTTTGTGTTCTCATTTCTGAACATGTCTCTTCCATGATAGTTGGTTGTACCTAGTCTTGTGTTTTCATGGATGTTTGTGTTCTCATTTCTAAACATGTCTCTTCCATGATAGTTGGTTGTACCTAGTCTTGTGTTTTCATGGATGTTCTTCTCATTTCTGAACATGTCTCTTCCATGATAGTTGGTTGTACCTAGTCTTGTGTTTTCATGGATGTTTGTGTTCTCATTTCTAAACATGTCTCTTCCATGATAGTTGGTTGTACCTAGTCCTGTGTTTTCATGGATGTTCTTCTCATTTCTAAACATGTCTCTTCCATGATAGTTGGTTGTACCTAGTCCTGTGTTTTCATGGATGTTTGTGTTCTCACTTCTAAACATGTCTCTTCCATGATAGTTGGTTGTACCTAGTCTTGTGTTTTCATGGATGTTTGTGTTCTCATTTCTAAACATGTCTCTTCCATGATAGTTGGTTGTACCTAGTCTTGTGTTTTCATGGATGTTTGTGTTCTCATTTCTAAACATGTCTCTTCCATGATAGTTGGTTGTACCTAGTCTTGTGTTTTCATGGATGTTCTTCTCATTTCTAAACATGTCTCTTCCATGATAGTTGGCTGTACCTAGTCCTGTGTTTTCATGGATGTTTGTGTTCTCATTTCTGAACATGTCTCTTTCATGATAGTTGGTTGTTCCTAGTCCTGTGTTTTCATGGATGTTTGTGTTCTCATTTCTGAACATGTCTCTTCCATGATAATTGGTTGTACCTAGTCCTGTGTTTTCATGGATGTTTGTGTTCTCATTTCTGAACATGTCTCTTCCATGATAGTTGGTAGTACCTAGTCTTGTGTTTTCATGGATGTTTGTGTTCTCATTTCTAAACATGTCTCTTCCATGATAGTTGGTTGTACCTAGTCCTGTGTTTTCATGGATGTTTGTGTTCTCATTTCTGAACATGTCTCTTCCACGATAGTTGGTTGTACCTAGTCTTGTGTTTTCATGGATGTTTGTGTTCTCATTTCTAAACATGTCTCTTCCATGATAGTTGGTTGTACCTAGTCTTGTGTTTTCATGGATGTTTGTGTTCTCATTTCTGAACATGTCTCTTCCATGATAGTTGGTTGTACCTAGTCCTGTGTTTTCATGGATGTTTGTGTTCTCATTTCTGAACATGTCTCTTCCATGATAGTTGGTTGTACCTAGTCCTGTGTTTTCATGGATGTTTGTGTTCTCATTTCTGAACATGTCTCTTCCATGATAGTTGGTTGTACCTAGTCCTGTGTTTTCATGGATGTTTGTGTTCTCATTTCTGAACATGTCTCTTCCATGATAGTTGGTTGTACCTAGTCCTGTGTTTTCATGGATGTTTGTGTTCTCATTTCTGAACATGTCTCTTCCATGATAGTTGGTTGTACCTAGTCTTGTGTTTTCATGGATGTTTGTGTTCTCATTTCTAAACATGTCTCTTCCATGATAGTTGGTTGTACCTAGTCCTGTGTTTTCATGGATGTTTGTGTTCTCATTTCTGAACATGTCTCTTCCACGATAGTTGGTTGTACCTAGTCTTGTGTTTTCATGGATGTTTGTGTTCTCATTTCTAAACATGTCTCTTCCATGATAGTTGGTTGTACCTAGTCTTGTGTTTTCATGGATGTTTGTGTTCTCATTTCTAAACATGTCTCTTCCATGATAGTTGGTTGTACCTAGTCCTGTGTTTTCATGGATGTTTGTGTTCTCATTTCTAAACATGTCTCTTCCATGATAGTTGGTTGTACCTAGTCCTGTGTTTTCATGGATGTTTGTGTTCTCATTTCTGAACATGTCTCTTCCATGATGGTTGTACCTAGTCCTGTGTTTTCATGGATGTTTGTGTTCTCATTTCTGAACATGTCTCTTCCATGATAGTTGGTTGTACCTAGTCCTGTGTTTTCATGGATGTTTGTGTTCACATTTCTAAACATGTCTCTTCCATGATAGTTGGTTGTACCTAGTCTTGTGTTTTCATGGATGTTTGTGTTCTCATCTCTGCCAGGCTTCCGTCAGATGTCTTTTCTTTTATGTGGTCTGTATTCCTTTGAGCCTGTTGTTACCAGTGCAAAGATATATATATTGTTTTTAAACATGTCTCTTATCCAAAGCCAGCTTCTTTTTCTTACCTCTGGATTCACTGGAATTCGACCTGTAAAGTTTTATAGTGGGCATACATCAGTTACTGATTGTTATGGTTTCCAGAATGTGTTCCTTATAAACTGTGAAGCGCTTCCTGTCCATTCTGAGACCTGTAAGCATTTTCTTCCTGGCAGCGCAAATCTGGATCTTGCAAAAGCCTTTGTTCTGCCAATGAAGCAAAGATGTCAGTGACAGGTAAGGCAGATGATACGTCTTATGGTAGTAAGATTGTCTACCTCTGGTAAAGAAATCACAGTCTAGCACAACATTTGCACACACTAACACATGGGTGCATTAAATGCCAGGTAAACAACTGTTTCAGTACCTGAAAATTTGGTAGCAAATGCTCAAATGGAAAAATGATGAATGCTATACATAGTGAATGTGGCCACTAGGTTCGCCAGATTTCTGTAGTCTGGCACTGGCCAAATTTAAAATGTAAGAGAACACATTAGTTGCCGGCTAAGTCTCACGGGAAGGCTGCCATCACATACTAACGTTGACCGGTGCTAGGGTTGTTGTCATTCGTCGTGACTTGCTCGCAACGGGTTTAATTAGTCCCAGTCGTAATCCTATCCGCTTGAATCTCTCTCTGACCTCTTCTTGCATCAGATTGAAGCACATGGCAATAATCGCCAGCCCCATAAACAGATACATTGAGCTGGCTATTAGTTTTACGTTGCTGTTGTTGTCTGAGCCAAAACCAAAAACGAAGTCCCCAAATCCAATGGTGCTGAGGGTGATAAAGCAGAAATATGCAGCCACAAGATAGTCCCAATCTTGTTGCCATGTTGAAAACAATACCGCACCCCCACCAATATATCCGCCAATTATCAAAAGGCTAACCCACAGTGGAACTGTCACGCCTTTGGTGTGCAAAGCTTCCTTGAAGATGGTTTTCCTTCGCAGTTCAATTGGTGGGCCTCTGCATCTACTCACTTTTGCCAGAACCAAAGAGACGTACTTGTACAAGAACCGAAAGCATTTGGCCCATGATTCACCGATTGTACTCAAGCACAAAAGTGTCAGCGGTATGCCAAGTAAGGCGTAAAGCATGGTTGTCATCCGTCCCCATTGCGTCTTGGGAGCTATGTGGCCGTAACCTGTGGATTGAAATAAGATAATTACAACCAGCAACTACTGCCATTATTTAGCCTATGATAAGAACATGTATGTAATAATTAGATACAAAAATAACTCCATACCATGCATTATTAGGGTTTGGTTGGCAGGGGGATCCTTTGTGAGTCTGCCAACATTCGATGAATATGCTTCGGTAAGTGTAACCAAATAACAAAACATCTTTGCCTTTCGTTGGAAATTTGCTATATGTGTCATTATTGCTTGTGATGCTATAGGACAATATAGGTGGGTGGATGTCTGGGTGGATGGTTTGGTTCCGACTAGTTAACCACACAGTAAGCGACACTGATGTATGAGTTGGCAATGACGACACGTGTCTGCCAAGCACCACCAAACTTAGGTTACGATGAAATGGATCAAATCACTTCCCTTTATCTTGCTCAGGGATCAAGTGACAGAACAGAGATCAGCTGGTCTCAAAGATGTTGCACTGCAATACTCGGACAAGATGTCTAATGTTGTCTGTTCCAACAAGCGGAAGCAGTTTACAGATGGCACGACTGTCAGGAACCTAATTGTCTAGGGTTCGATTCCAGTGGCTCTGCTGTAGGCTAATGACAGGAAAACACCGTTGACAAACACACCTAAGCCAAATACTGGTTGCAAACACACACACATAATCTTAATTATCAAAGAAATAAACGTGATGGTGGAAAATCTCGGGAGGGGTAGCGCTCCTTATTTTGAAATCAGGCCGCGTCTAACTTTAAAATCGCTTAGAGGCGCCTCAACACGTTCATGATATAAGCTCTGAGCCGCTACCACTCTCCCGTACAGCGCCAACTCAACCCGCTGTCTCCCGATGAGACGCTATGGCACACACTACGTGTAGACCCAGAGGTGCCTCAACGGTGCTAACGCCACAAACAATGCATGTTCTGGCTTACAGTAAAAAGTGTTGCAGTCAGATTCACAGAAAATGAAGTAGTGGATGGCAACAGAGGTCAAGATTTTGTCACTGGCTTGAGCTGCAGCCATACTAGCAACGAAACTCATAGTGAATAAATTTCTCCCCACACACAGCTAGACAATGTCAAAGTAGTGAAGTGTCAATAGATAACTTCATTTACTTTAGAGTGGTCTCTAAAAGGCATCCACTTTTAGGATTCAGACTGTAAGTTTTAAAAGCCCATCTGACAGTATTGATAGGAGACAGAAATACAAAACTCAAAGACAATTACAGCCACTTAAATGTATCAATCAATCTCATCAGAAATAATTCTGACACTTGTAATCTGTCATTACTAGATGTGGTTTGTTTAGCTGGAAGTCTGTCATTAGTTGATGTTGTTTAGTTAGCTGGAAGTCTGTCATTAGTGGATTTTGTTTGGTTAGCTGGAAGTCTGTAATTATTCGATTTGGTTTGGTTAGCTAGAAGTCACTCATTACTAGATGTGGTTTGTTTAGCTGGAAGTTAGTCATTACTAGATGTGGTTTGTTTAGCTGGAAGTTAGTCATTACTAGATGTGGTTTAGTTAACTGGAAGTCACTCATTACTAGATGTGGTTTGTTTAGCTGGAAGTCACTCATTACTAGATGTTTTTTGGTTAGCTGGAAGTCACTCCTTACTAGATGTGGTTTGTTTAGCTGGAAGTCACTCATTACTAGATGTGGTTTGTTTAGCTGGAAGTTAGTCATTACTAGATGTGGTTTGTTTAGCTGGAAGTTAGTCATTACTAGATGTGGTTTAGTTAACTGGAAGTCACTCATTACTAGATGTGGTTTGTTTAGCTGGAAGTCACTCATTACTAGATGTGGTTTGTTTAGCTGGAAGTCACTCATTACTAGATGTGGTTTGTTTAGCTGGAAGTCACTCATTACTAGATGTGGTTTGTTTAGCTGGAAGTTAGTCATTACTAGATGTGGTTTGTTTAGCTGGAAGTTAGTCATTACTAGATGTGGTTTAGTTAACTGGAAGTCACTCATTACTAGATGTGGTTTGTTTAGCTGGAAGTCACTCATTACTAGATGTTTTTTGGTTAGCTGGAAGTCACTCCTTACTAGATGTGGTTTGTTTAGCTGGAAGTCACTCAATACTGGATGTGGTTTGTTTAGCTGGAAGTCACTCATTACTAGATGTGGTTTGTTTAGCTGGAAGTCACTCATTACTAGATGTGGTTTGGTTAGCTGAAAGTTAGTCATTACTGGATGTGGTTTGTTTAGCTGAAAGTCACTCATTACTAGATGTTTTTTGGTTAGCTGGAAGTCACTCCTTACTAGATGTGGTTTGTTTAGCTGGAAGTCACTCATTACTAGATGTGGTTTGTTTAGCTGGAAGTTAGTCATTACTAGATGTGGTTTGTTTAGCTGAAAGTCACTCATTACTAGATGGGATTTGTTTAGCTGGATGTTAGTCATTACTGGATGTGGTTTGTTTAGCTGGAAGTCACTCATTACTAGATGTGGTTTGTTTAGCTGGAAGTTAGTCATTACTAGATGTGGTTTGTTTAGCTGGAAGTCACTCATTACTAGATGTGGTTTGTTTAGCTGGAAGTTAGTCATTACTGGATGTGGTTTGTTTAGCTGGAAGTCACTCATTACTAGATGGGGTTTGTTTAGCTGGATGTTAGTCATTACTGGATGTGGTTTGTTTAGCTGGAAGTCACTCATTACTAGATGTGGTTTGTTTAGCTGGAAGTTAGTCATTACTAGATGTGGTTTGTTTAGCTGGAAGTCACTCATTACTAGATGTGGTTTGTTTAGCTGGAAGTTAGTCATTAGTAGATGTGGTTTGTTTAGCTGGAAGTCACTCATTACTAGATGTGGTTTGGTTAGCTGGAAGTTAGTCATTACTGGATGTGGTTTGTTTAGCTGGAAGTCACTCATTACTGGATGTGGTTTGTTTAGCTGGAAGTCACTCATTACTAGATGTGGTTTGTTTAGCTGGAAGTCACTCATTACTAGATGTGGTTTGGTTAGCTGGAAGTTAGACATTACTGGATGTGGTTTGTTTAGCTGGAAGTCACTCATTACTGGATGTGGTTTGTTTAGCTGGAAGTCACTCATTACTAGATGTGGTTTGTTTAGCTGGAAGTCACTCATTACTAGATGTGGTTTGTTTAGCTGGAAGTTAGTCATTACTAGATGTGGTTTGTTTAGCTGGAAGTCACTCATTACTAGATGTGGTTTGTTTAGCTGGAAGTCACTCATTACTAGATGTGGTTTGTTTAGCTGGAAGTTAGTCATTAGTAGATGTGGTTTGTTTAGCTGGAAGTGACTCATTACTAGATGTTTTTTGGTTAGCTGGAAGTCACTCCTTACTAGATGTGGTTTGTTTAGCTGGAAGTCACTCATTACTAGATGTGGTTTGTTTAGCTGGAAGTTAGTCATTACTAGATGTGGTTTGTTTAGCTGAAAGTCACTCATTACTAGATGGGGTTTGTTTAGCTGGATGTTAGTCATTACTGGATGTGGTTTGTTTAGCTGGAAATCACTCATTACTAGATGTGGTTTGTTTAGCTGGAAGTCACTCATTACTAGATGTGGTTTGTTTAGCTGGAAGTCACTCATTACTAGATGTGGTTTGTTTAGCTGGAAGTAGCTGGAAGTCACTCTCCATACTGGATGTGGTTTGTTTATTACTCATACTACTGGATGTGGTTTGTTTGTTTAGCTGGAAGTCACTCATTACTAGATGTGGTTTGTTTAGCTGGAAGTCACTCATTACTAGATGTGGTTTGTTTAGCTGGAAGTCACTCATTACTAGATGTGGTTTGTTTAGCTGGAAGTCACTCATTACTAGATGTGGTTTGTTTAGCTGGAAGTCACTCATTACTAGATGTGGTTTGTTTAGCTGGAAGTCACTCAATACTGGATGTGGTTTGTTTAGCTGGAAGTCACTCATTACTAGATGTGGTTTGGTTAGCTGGAAGTCACTCAATACTGGATGTGGTTTGTTTAGCTGGAAGTCACTCAATACTGGATGTGGTTTGTTTAGCTGGAAGTCACTCATTACTAGATGTGGTTTGTTTAGCTGGAAGTCACTCATTACTAGATGTGGTTTGTTTAGCTGGAAGTCACTCATTACTGGATGTGGTTTGTTTAGCTGGAAGTCACTCATTACTAGATGTGGTTTGTTTAGCTGGAAGTCACTCATTACTAGATGTGGTTTGTTTAGCTGGAAGTCACTCATTACTAGATGTGGTTTGTTTAGCTGGAAGTCACTCATTACTAGCTGGATGTCATTGTAGATTGGTTTGTTTAGCTGGAAGTCACTCATTACTAGATGTGGTTTGTTTAGCTGGAAGTCACTCATTACTAGATGTGGTTTGTTTAGCTGGAAGTCACTCATTACTGGATGTGGTTTGTTTAGCTGGAAGTTAGTCATTAGTAGATGTGGTTTGATTAGCTGGAAGTTAGTCATTAGTAGATGTGGTTTGGTTAGCTGAAAGTTAGTCATTAGTAGATCTGATTTGGTTAGCTGGAAGTTAGTCATTAGTAGATGTGGTTTGGTTAGCTGGAAGTTAGTCATTAGTAGATGTGGTTTGGTTAGCTGGAAGTTAGTCATTAGTAGATGTGGTTTGGTTAGCTGGAAGTTAGTCATTAGATGTGGTTTGGTTAGCTGGAAGTTAGTCATTAGTAGATGTGGTTTGGTTAGCTGAAAGTTAGTCATTAGTACATCTGGTTTGGTTAGCTGGAAGTTAGTCATTAGTAGATCTGGTTTGGTTAGCTAGAAATTAGTCATTAGTAGATCTGGTTTGGTTAGCTGGAAGTTAGTCATTAGTAGATGTGGTTTGGTTAGCTGGAAGTCACTCATTACTAGATGTGGTTTGTTTAGCTGGAAGTTAGTCATTACTGGATGTGGTTTGTTTAGCTGGAAGTTAGTCATTACTGGATGTGGTTTGTTTAGCTGGAAGTTAGTCATTACTAGATGTGGTTTGGTTAGCTGGAAGTTAGTCATTACTGGATGTGGTTTGTTTAGCTGGAAGTTAGTCATTAGTAGATGTGGTTTGGTTAGCTGGAAGTTAGTCATTACTGGATGTGGTTTGGTTAGCTGGAAGTTAGTCATTACTGGATGTGGTTTGTTTAGCTGGAAGTTAGTCATTACTGGATGTGGTTTGTTTAGCTGGAAGTTAGTCATTACTGGATGTGGTTTGTTTAGCTGGAAGTTAGTCATTACTGGAGTTAGTCATTACTGGATGTGGTTTTGTTTGTTTAGCTGGAAGTTAGTCATTACTGGATGTGGTTTGTTTAGCTGGAAGTTAGTCATTAGTAGATGTGGTTTGGTTAGCTGGAAGTTAGTCATTACTGGATGTGGTTTGTTTAGCTGGAAGTTAGTCATTAGCAGATGTGGTTTGTTTAGCTGGAAGTTAGTCATTACTAGATGTGGTTTGGTTAGCTGGACTTCTGTCATTACTAGATGTGGTTTGGCTAGCTGGAAGTCTGCCATTGGAAAATGTGGTTTGGTTAGCTGGAAGTCTGTCATTGGAAGATGTGGTTTGGTTAGCTGGAAGTCTGTCATTTGTAGATGTGGTTTGGTTTTCTTGGAGTCTGTCATTACCAGATGTGGCTTAGTTAGCTAGAAATCATTACTAGATGTGGTTTGGTTAGCTGGAAGTCTGTCATTTGTAGATGTGGTTTGGTTTTCTTGGAGTCTGTCATTACCAGATGTGGCTTAGTTAGCTAGAAATCATTACTAGATGTGGTTTGGTTATCTGGAAGTCTGTCATTTGTAGATGTGGTTTGGCTAGCTGAAAGTCTGTCATTTGTAGATGTGGTTTGGTTAGCTGGAAGTCTGTCATTGGAAGATGTGGTTTGGTTAGCTGGAAGTCTGTCATTTGTAGATGTGGTTTGGTTTTCTTGGAGTCTGTCATTACCAGATGTGGCTTAGTTAGCTAGAAATCATTACTAGATGTGGTTTGGTTAGCTGGAAGTCTGCCATTAGTAGATGTGGTTTGGTTAGCTGGAAGTTAGTTATTAGTAGATCTAGTTTGGTTAGCTGGAAGTCTGTCAATACTAGATGTGGTCTGGTTAGCTGGTGGTCTGTCAATACTAGATGTGGTTTGGTCAGCTAGGAGTCTGTCATTACTAGATGCGGTCTGGTTAGCTGGTGGTCTGTCAATACTAGATGTGGTCTGGTTAGCTGGTGGTCTGTCAATACTAGATGTGGTCTGGTTAGCTGGTGGTCTGTCAATACTAGATGTGGTTTGGTCAGCTAGGAGTCTGTCATTACTAGATGTGGTTTGGTCAGCTAGGAGTCTGTCAATACTAGATGTGGTCTGGTTAGCTAGGAGTCTGTCATTACTAGATGTGGTTTGGTTAGCTGGATGATATCCGAGAATTCAGTTATACATTTTTGAGGCGGAGAAAATATTTAAATAAAATATATAATGTGGGTATACCAAGTAAACAATATGGTTTGCTATCATTTTGTAAATCGTATTCCATTTAAAAATAATATATATCTTGCATTATATTTTATTGCTGTGTATATATAAATGCCAAATTCCTCAAAGCGGCTGCAGTTTTCTGCCCACATTGTATGAGACGTATAGAGATCAATATCACTACGTCTAGTCAAGTACTTGTCATTATCATTAGTAATGGACAAACAAACAGCGACATTTGTTCGATGTTCTATGATGTAGACGATTATGACGATGTTGTTCTTGATGATGATGATGACATACCAATTGTCGTCAGCACTGTGACGCTATAGAGTACGGAGCCGAAGAACGACCAGCTGATGTCCTTGTTAAATTCGTCTCTGCCATCCCAACCTCTTTCTTTGATGGCAATCACCACATCGTCCTGAAAATCTTTCATGATCCGCTCCACAGCCCTGCTCCAATTGGCTTGCTCCAAGACGTTGAGATCCGCCGTCATCAGCCAGATCTGAAACATCAGTAGAGACCCACGATACAGAACACAGTCTTGTTTATCAAGTTCTTCTACTCCTTGTTCTCTCGTAGCGAAAACAACAGCTGCATCCTGGCAATGACAACAACCCAACGAACTCCCCCAAAAAACGCTTCCCCTGTCCTTTTTGTCCGGTCCATCGTTAACAACCGGTTTAGTCAAATCTCTGTAAATCCTGAAGCGGCCACAGCGGCAAGGACAACAGCAACAGTAGCAGTTATAACATAAGCCGCAGCAAGAACTGTAGCAGTAACAGCAACAACAACAGCAGTAAGAAGAGCAGTACCTGTCTCAGTAGTAAGAACAACAGCAGCAGTAACAGCATGAACTACAATGTAAGGAATGATTATCCCATTGCTGTTTTGGGGGGAGGGGGAGAGACATCTAGCACTAATCACAAATTATGTGCTAGATTTCGAATGGATGACATTGATGCCAATCATAATGTATGTGTGAAAAGATTTAGTGGGCGATACTAGCTTAAGACAGGCATGAACTTAGGATGATACGTGTCAGGTTAGGAAATAATAAATTATGTGCGAGAAGTCGAATCGATGACATTGACTGCTAATCATGTGTGGAAAGATCGAGTGGGCGATACCAGCTAAACACAAGCATGTAGTTAGGATAATACTTGCCACGTAAGAAAACCGTTAAAGAATGAATAATCTTCAAAATGCACGGAAAGTAGAAAAGACTTTAGACATATAGCAAGGAAAAATCATCAGCCTTGTTTAAGTTTTGCGAGAATCAGGTCCTGTGGCGCTTGGAATGTGGAGTAAATCGAATATTTCAAGTGAAAGTATTCACAAGCTGCCGACTTTTTATGAGAAACCTGGCTATGCTAATAACATCTGCAAAAGGAATGAGAGAGAAACCGTCAGCTGTGCATCAAAGCTTGTCTGAGTCCAGTCTTGCCGTTTTGAAATGTGACCATTTGAAACATTCCTGTGACAGATTCTGTCCAGTAATAGAAGAACAGAAAAAACCAGATTTAACAGTCGTCTAGCCCACAATCTGAGACTAATGTTGAGAAATGAAACAGCTTGTATTAGCTGGCTAACGTTCTTGATGTTTGGGGAATGAAACAGCTTGTATTAGCTGGCTAACGTTCTTGATGTTTGGGCAATGAAACAGCTTGTATTAGCTGGCTAACGTTCTTGATGTTTGGGGAATGAAACAGTTTGTATTAGCTGGCCAACGTTCTTGGTGTTTGGGGAATGAAACAGCTTGTATTAGCTGGCTAACGTTCTTGATGTTTGGGGAATGAAACAGCTTGTATTAGCTGGCCAACGTTCTTGATGTTTGGGGAATGAAACAGCTTGTATTAGCTGGCTAACGTTCTTGATGTTTGGGGAATGAAACAGCTTGTATTAGTTGACTAACGTTCTTGATGTTTGGGGAATGAAACAGCTTGTATTAGCTGGCCAACGTTCTTGATGTTTGGGGAATGAAACAGCTTGTATTAACTGGCCAACGTTCTTGATGTTTGGGGAATGAAACAGCTTGTATTAGCTGGCTAACGTTCTTGATGTTTGGGGAATGAAACAGCTTGTATTAGCTGGCTAACGTTCTTGATGTTTGGGGAATGAAACAGCTTGTATTAGCTGGCTAACGTTCTTGATGTTTGGGGAATGAAACAGCTTGTATTAGCTGGCCAACGTTCTTGATGTTTGGGGAATGAAACAGCTTGTATTAGCTGGCTAACGTTCTTGATGTTTGGAGAATGAAACAGCTTGTATTAGCTGGCCAACGTTCTTGATGTTTGTGGAATGAAACAGCTTGTATTAGCTGGCCAACGTTCTTGATGTTTGGGGAATGAAACAGCTTGTATTAGCTGGCCAACGTTCTTGATGTTTGGGGAATGAAACAGCTTGTATTAGCTGGCCAACGTTCTTGATGTTTGGGGAATGAAACAGCTTGTATTAGCTGGCCAACGTTCTTGATGTTTGGGGAATGAAACAGCTTGTATAGCTGGTCAATGTTCTTGATGTTTGGGGAATGAAACAGCTTGTATTAGCTGGCCAACATTGTTGATGTTTATTTGTTCGAGTTCAAGATTTTCAATTACTTGTCAATGTGTCTTGAGCAGACTACACGCATTGAGTCATGAAAATAGTGAAAACGACAACAGGAACAACAGTAACAAATAGAACAACAGCAACAGATAAAACAACATAAACAGAAAGAACAACAGCAACAGATAGATCAACAGTAACAGATAGAACAACAGAAACAGATAGAACAACAGCAACAGAAAGAACAACAGCAACAGATAGAACAACAGCAACAGATAGAACAACAGCAACAGATATAACAACAGTAACAGACAGAACAACAGTAACAGACAGAACAACAGCAAGAACAATAGCAACAGTGACAGCAAGAATAAAAGCAGCAAAAACAAACAGCAGCAGTAATTGCACGAATAACAACAGCAGACAACAGAAAAAGAAATAGCATCAAGAATAACGACAGCATTACCAAAAACAACAGCAATGATAGCAACACTAACAACAGTAACAAAATACAATAAAACAGCAAGAGTAATAGCTGTAATAACAAAATTATCAGCAGCGGTATCTGCTAGAATAAAAGAAAAACTAACAAAACAGAAAAAAAAAACGTCAGCAAGAATAACAGCAGCCCTAACAACAGTAAAATAAACAGCAGCAGTAACAACAGCAACATAAACAGCAGCGGTAACATAAACAGCAGCGGTAACATAAACAGCAGCAGTAACAACAATTGCAAACAGCGGCAACAGTAACAGAAAACAGCAGCAGTTACAGACGAAGCAGCTGAAGTAACAGTAAGAATAGCAGCAGCAGTTACTGAACAACATTAACACTAGGAGTAATAACAGTGACATAAACAGTTACAGTAATAATAACAGCAGCAGTTACGGCACAAACATAACAGCAGTAGTAACAACGTTAACATAAATAGTAGTATTTGGAAACATAATAGCAGCAGTAACAGTAAGAATAACAGCAGCAGTTACGGCACAAACATAACAGCAATAGTATCAAGAGAAACATAGCAGCAGTAACAAATATAACCGCGTCAATAACAGTAAGAATAACGGCAGCAGTTACTGCACACACACAGCAGTAACATAAACAGCAGCGGTAACATAAACAGCAGCAGTAACAACAAAAACAAACAGCAGCAACAGTAACCAAAAAAACAGCAGCAGTCACGACCCTAGCAGCTAAGGTAACAGTAAGAATAGCAGCAGCAGTCACGGCACAAACATAACAGTAGGAGTAACAACAGTAACACACAGTAACAGTAAGAATAACAGCAGCAGTTATGGTACAAAAATAATAGCAGTAGTAACAACAGTAACATACACAGCAGCAGTAACAAGAGTAACAAACATAAAAGCAGCAGTAACAGTAAGGAGAACAGCAGCAGTTACGAAACAAACATAACAGCAGCAGTAACAACAGTAACATAAATAGTAGTATTATGAAACATAACAGCAGCGGCAACCGTAAGAATACCAGGAGCAGTACGGCACAAACATAACTGTAGTAGTAACAACAGTAACATAAACAGTAACAGTAAAAATAACAGCAGCAGTTGTTACAAAAACATAACAGCAGTGGTAACAGTAACATACACAGCATCAGTAACAACAGTAGCAAACATAAAAGCAGCAGTACAGTAAGAATAACGACACAAACATAACAGCAGCAGTAACAACGGTAACATAAATAGTAGTATTAGGAAAAATAACAGCAGCAGTAACAGTAAGAATAACAGCAGCAGTTATGGCACAAACAAAACAGGATTAGTAACAACAAAAACATAGACAGCTGCAGTAACAAACATAACAGCATCAATAACAATAAAGGTAGCAGTTGCTGCACAAACATTACAGCAACACTAACATAAACAGCAGCAGTTATGACACACACAGCAGAAGTAACAACAAGAATAAAAGCGGCACTAACAACAGTAACATAAACAGTAGCAGTAACGATAATCCTGGCACTTACCTTAGTAACAGTGGCGTTCCTTTTCTTTGAGATTGTTGTCCTTTCCACAATTTCAGTCTTCCCTTCCAAAAATTTGAACAGGAATCCGCCCATGATCGTGTATCCGATAACAAGGACGGTCAGTCCCACGTGAGAAAACGAATAACTGATCACTTTTTGGAACACTCTAGCGTATTTCATCAAGCGATCTCTCTCACCTTCATTCGGTGGCCGACACAATCGCCATGGTTCCACTGGTATTTCTGTAGGTTGTTCGGTCGTGGCGATTGACGCTTCACTTTCGGATTGATTCTCCTGAACGTCTTCAACTGTGGCCACTTGCTGGGCATTCTCAAGAACGGCACCAACTTCTTCTTCAGCGTCGATGGGGGTAGCCTTGCCGTTTTCACCTGTTAACTTGCCGCTGTCAACTGTTAACTTGCCGCTGTCAACTGTGTGTTGAGAGAGCCTAGGACTTGTCGGCTGCATAGTCAGATACTAACAATGAAGGTTGACACTCTCATCCTAAGGTCATTGTTTACTGAATGGAAGTTGGCTCTCCGACACTAAAGAGATGAAATCAAAGGCCACGGATATTTAGTCTGTTTGGTAGAACTTCTTTTATGTAATGCTTTCGATACTAGTCCACTCACGAAATTTCTTATACTTCTGACTCCATGTTGTTCTACCACTTGTATTAATGTATTCATATTAATGGTTCCCTCCAAAGAACATGAAACGTGAATTTCTGGTCTTTTAGACATTACCTTATACGTGGTAAACGTGCATTTCTGGTCCAGTAGACATTACCAGATACATGGTAAACGTGCATTTCAGGTCCAGTAGACATTACCAGATACAAGGTAAACGTGCATTTCTAGTCCAGGAGACATTACCAGATACATGGTAAACGTGCATTTCAGGTCCAGTAGACATTACCTTATACATGGTAAACGTGCATTTCTTGTCCAGTAGACATTACCTTATACATGGTAAACGTGCATTTCAGGTCCAGTAGACATTACCTTATACATGGTAAATGTGCATTTCTTGTCCGGTAGACATTACCTTATACATGGTAAACGTGCATTTTAGGTCCAGTAGACATTACCAGATACATGGTAAACGTGCATTTCTGGTCCAGTAGACATTACCTTATACATGGTAGACGTGCATTTCTGGTCCAGTAGACATGACCTTATACATGGTAGACGTGCATTTCTGGTCCAGTAGACATGACCTTATACATGGTAGACGTGCATTTCTGGTCCAGTAGACATTTCCTTATACATGGTAAACGTGCATTTCTGGTCCAGTAGACATTACCTTATACATGGTAAACGTGCATTTCTGGTCCAGTAGACATTACCTTATACATGGTAAACGTGTATTTCTGGTCCAGTAGACATTACCTTATACATGGTGAACGTGCATTTCTGGTCCGGTAGACATTACCTTATACATGGTAAACGTGCATTTCTTGTCCGGTAAACATTACCAGATACATGGTAAACGTGCATTTCTTGTCCGGTAGACATTACCTTATACATGGTAAACGTGCATTTCTTGTCCAGTAGACATTACCAGATACATGGTAAACGTGCATTTCTGGTCAGTAGTGCATTTCTGGTCCAGTAGTCATTACCAGATACATGGTAAATGTGCATTTCTGGTCCAGTAGTCATTACCAGATACATGGTAAACGTGCATTTCTGGTCCAGTAGTCATTACCAGATACATGGTAAACGTGCATTTCTGGTCCAGTAGACATTACCAGATACATGGTAAATGTGCATTTCTGGTCCAGTAGACATTACCAGATACATGGTAAATGTGCATTTCTGGTCCAGTAGACATTACCAGATACATGGTAAATGTGCATTTCTGGTCCAGTAGTCATTACCAGATACATGGTAAACTTGCATTTCTGGTCCAGTAGTCATTACCAGATACATGGTAAACGTGCATTTCTGGTCCAGTAGACATTACCAGATACATGGTAAACGTGCATTTCTGGTCCAGTAGACATTACCAGATACAAGGTAAACGTGCATTTCTAGTCTAGTAGACATTACCAGATACGTGGTAAACGTGCATTTCTGGCCCAGTAAACATTACCAGATACATGGTAAATGTGCATTTCTGGTCCAGTAGACATTACCAGATTCATGACAAACGAAAGAAAGAGAAGAGAGTGTATGTAATACACACGCGTGCTCGCAAAAACACACACACATAATTATAAGTAAAAAAGTAAAAGATCTTTTCCACGCTTTCAGGCCAATGGGCATATAGGGCTAGACCTACAAGGTTCGACAAATAAATAATGAGACTGATTTTATTATGGCCCAGACAAAAAATGCCATCGATGAAGCAAAGCATGAAATCTAAAGAGGCAACATTCATCTAAGATCTGGTAACTTTTCATCGCTGCTCGATAATCAGACAATAAGCAAGCGCCATTTTGTTAATCTAGTCAGATGTGCATTGTTATGCAATCAGCACAGAGCAAAAAGCTAACATTAAATTCTTTTTAAAATTCAGAAAAAGCGCCATTGAAACAGTTCAATTGATGCAACAAGTTTTGTGGGGAAAGTTGTTTATCTTGTGCACAAATTTTCTGGTGGTATTCTCGATTCAATATTTTGGTCATATCAAGCGCCACGACGGATTGGAACAAATTATAGCAGAAGGCATGGTACCAGGAAGGAGAGGCAGGGGCCGACCCTCACGAAAATGGGCACAGGATGTAAGTGACTCCTTGAGTGTGAAAGTGCATGAGGCGGGAGAACTGGCGAGAGACCGAGTTTCTTTTAGGTAAACTGTGATGAGAGTGACGTTCTGCAAAGGACCTTCTACATGATGATGATGATGATTCTCGATTCAAAAGTGGTGTGGAAATGATTACTAATGCACCTAGACCTGGACGCCAAATTTATGTTGGTAATGATGAAATGATTGCAAAAGTCAGAGAACGGATACCTAAAGATCATTGTTTTACAGTGAGGATGATGGTAGATGAATCTGTTGTTAACAAGAGACCATTCATAACGTTTGAGTGCAAGATTTTGGCAAGAAAAAAGTTGCTTGCCGGTTTGTACCACATTCGTTGTTTGATGACCAAAAACATCAGCAGTTTGAGTACCCAAGAGACATCACCGAAACAAGAATTTTTGGCCCTAAAACAAGCGTGGTTCTCAGCCGGCCAACCATTTGCCCAGATTTGTCTCCCTGTGGTTATTTTCTATTTCCAAAATTAAATTTACGATTGAAAAGACGCTTCTTTAACAATATTGATGACATCCAAAGGGCAGTAACATCGACTTAGAGGGCCATAAAAACAAAAGAACTACAAAGTTAGTTCCAGTGTTTGTTAGATCGTGCCACTTGCTGTATCAATGCACAAGGGGCTTACTTCGAATCAGATACAGGTTATATTTTCAACAGTTGACTATTTTAATTTGTATGGAATTACTCTCGTTACTTAATTGTCAAACCTTGTATATTTTCTAGACCAATCGGTATTGGGTGGGTGATCACCATCAGACTGACACACACACACACACACACAGACACACACACACACATATATATATATATATATATATATATATATATATATATATATATATATTTACATTTCATCAAGTGCCTTGCTAGTTGGCGTAGGCGTCCATACGTCTCCACAGATCTTGATCTCTTTGGTGATCTGGATCAAATCCACTGATGATTTTCCTCCATGCTATTGTCTTAAGCCATCCACAATCGTTTCTCTTGGTCTGCCTCTTCTACCAGTGATCTTTCCAGTCATCTCTAAATCCTCAGACTTCAAAGCCTTGCCAGCTTACACTGTAAAACTGCTAAGTATAGGATAGGCAGTAATAGCAGTTTAACGGCAGATGCATTCTGCTTCTTCTTCTGCCTTTCCAACCTCCCAGTGGAGCATAGGTCTTCAACCAATCACGCCAGTGGTTTTATCCTTCGCTATCGCCTACAGCTCTCCACATGTCCTTCCCATATTTGATGACAGATTATGCTGGGTAATAATGATAGAGAGCTGAATGTTCGTAATAGCTCACGAAGCTGCATGCGGCGCCACAGCTACAGGTAATGGACCGATATTTGGACACAGACAACTTACCGTATAATGCCCTAAGTAGGCTGTAACCACTGAAAGCTTACTCGATGCGAGGAGATTGTCTGACTGTCTAGGCTTCCAAATGCACCAATCTTTGTGGGACTTGGCTCAAGATACTCCGTGTGAAGAACTGTACAAATGATGGACACAGTCAAACAATGGCGGATGTGGATATTGCACAGTGAGAGCACTGTTGGACACTTCACAGTAATGCACAAATATTTCATTTGGATGTGCAATACAGGATATATTCTTCTTCTTTTGTCAAAATCTGCTTGTGCCGCTAGGCGTCGCAGTCTATCAGATGATCGGCAACCGAGCCAGGGCGCGCTCAGTCGCTTCATATGCCGTGATGTTATGAAGTCTCAAGTTGTCCGTGACTCCTTCAATCCATCTTCTTCTTGGTCTTCCCCTGCCTCTTGGTGTTTCGATTTTCATGTTGTATGCTCTTGATGCTGGCATCGTTGGTTCCATTCTCACTAGGTGACCAAACCATTTCATTCTTTGTTTCTCAATAAATTTAACGATGGGTATGGTTCCAATAGTTCTTGTAATCACATCGTTTCTCACTCGATCTCTTCTGGTTTTATTCGCAGCCATTCTCAAGCATCTCATTTCACAGGTGGTTAGTCTTCTCTCGTGTTCTATTGTTAATGTCCAAGTCTGACATTGATAACCTAATGTCGGTATAAAGATAGTATTTATAATTTGTAATTGAATATTTACCAACGTCAATATTTCCAGAGTGGTACCTCTGTTTGTTTTCTCTGTCGATGTTTCTGTCATTAATTGTGAGGCCTGGAACATTAGCTTTGACAATTCTGTTGTCTAGATAGCACCATAAAACAGCCGTATATTTTAAGTTGATGACAGCGCCCATTTCTGTACACTAGCCACGGATAAAACTGGCTGTCACCCACAAATAACAATAAATGATGGAGAAATTCAAAATTTCACACTTTGAATGTCTAGGCTCTATGGATTTGATTTGATTTGATTCAAGAACCGACATCACAGCACTCGGGGCATTCCCATAAGCGCTCCGTCCCCATCTTCAGCAGCCAGCGAAGAGTTCTGATACCAATGGTGCCAGTAGCTTTCTGATTAAACGTCCGTCTTGCCTTTCCCCTGAGCCTTGAGCTTCTGCCAGAACCTCTCATCACCCCCAACTGCATCAATCTCACCAAACTGTGGTGATCCATCTGCTCCTTCGCATTGTACACGCTCTCCCACAAGGCACTAACCACGTCTGCCCTATCATGTAGCAGTATTCCACTAAGTTGTGCAGAGCCAGCCAGTCTGTCCGCCTGTTTATTTCCCAACACACCGGCGAGACCCGGTGAAAAAATTA